AAAGAGAAAAACATTAGATAATAAAAAAAGAAAAAACATACCAACAATTGGACCCAAAAGAAAAAGAGGAAAAAGGAAAAACAAAATAAAAACTATAACCAAAAGAATAATAGTAATGTACTTCACCAATCTAATAACAATACAAAATAAAAAATAAGTTATTTTCATGAATAACACACCATTAAACATCTAATAACAATACAAAATAAAAAATAAGTTATTTTCATGAATAACACACCATTAACGTCATGAATAATAATAATAATAATAAATAAAAATAATATATGTAAATGTTAATTTTACTCTCCTCCTTTGTTTAGCTTCATTTCATCCTCTCTTGAATTGGATAAACCCAAATCACTTTTTTTTTTAAGAATTTCCCTAAATCACTCTTGAACTGCAATTCTTGGACTCTGAACACCCAGGGCTTAACAACTCATAACTTTAAGACCTATTAACATTGACCCTCTTTGAAATATGAACATAGATTCGAAAATATGTAAATTAAAAAGTGTCAAACAAATAAAACGACAGACAGCAACAATCAATCACAAAAAAAAAACGGAAGCAAAAATGTCACTTTAAATTTGTTCACCTTTCCTCATTTCAAGTATAACAAGTCTAAGCTGAATCTAAATAAATAACAAACAGATTCTACTATAAGTCTAGAAGCCAATAACAACTTATTCGCGAATGATATATCATTATACTAGAATGATATATGAAGCACAAACTGAATTTCTTAGATATAAAAAGATATAAATTAAAAAGATAAGCAAACAAATAAAATCCGACAACAACAATCAAGAACAAATAAACATAAGCAACAATGTCACCTTACATCACGTTCACTTTTCCTCATTTCAAAAATAACAAGCCTAAGTTGAATATAAATAAATAATAAACAAATTCTATTGTAAATCTAGAAGCCAATAGGAACTTACTAGAGAAGGGTATATGAATATATTGGAATCACGTATAAAGCACAAACTGAATTTTCTACTGTGAAACTGAGCCTTATAAAAAAATCTCATAAAATCAATAAGAATATATGGAAAACAAAGAGTAACAACTGAAATTTTTAAGGAATTTTACCCAAAAAAAATAAAACATATCGGAAGAAAGAAGGGAAAAAAGGTAAATTTTTTTATCACCTTTTTTGCTTTGGGAAGATGATTTTAGATGGAAACATGTGGTCTTGCGGAAGCAGAAGGCAAGCAAATCGCAAAGGGAATATGATGCTTTTAGATGAGTTCAGATAGAGAAAATGCTTTGAAGAAGAGAAGGGAAGATGATTTCAGATAGAGACGAGAAGAAAAGAAGCATATCGCGTGATGAAAGAAGCAGATCGAGAAGACGAGAAGAAGAGAAATAGGTCAGATTGCTGAAGGAAAATGCAGTTGAAATGAGGGTTTTTTCAAGGGTAAAGTGAGAATTAATAAAATTTAATGAGATATAAACAGAACAAAAATATTAGCCCGTCAAAAACTACTGAATCGATGATTTTAAAAATTCACCAAAAATTTGCCTTTTGGATACCATAAAACATCCTAAGATAACCATATAATCAAGAAACAAAAAAGATTTCATCATTCCAATACCATACCCTACATCTATTAACCACAAAATAACACTATCCAAATAGAGGGTTTGTGGAAGAAAAAACGGATGCAATCCTTAATATCCCATTGAGCTTACGAACAAGGAAGGACCAAATACTTTGAGTGTCGAATAAGTTTGGGAAATATACGGTAAAATCAGCATATGCCTATATCCGGGATGGATATGAGGACCAGAGAAAAAGGTGTCAGACACTGTAAAAATTCATATGCAAAATCGAAATGCCCTTGAAGGTGAAAAACTTCGTGTGTTGAGTGATGATTAATACCCTGCCCGTCAAAACTAGACTGCGGGAGAAAGGTCAATACTTATCGGCTACATGCCCAAGGTGTGAGCATGATGAAAGTCTTAAACATACACTCTTTGAGCGTTCAAAAGCAAGCGGGTGTTGGAGAATTTTAAACATCAATCTCCAAACAGTACAGAGCAGGGATGTATATGAAATTGTGGAACAGATTTCTAAAACCAAGTCAGAATAAGAGGCCATTGAGTTTTTTTGTTGTATGTGGCGCCTCTAGTTAGAGAGGAATGATCTTATGTGGCATGGAAAATGATTTGCTGATCATATGTCCATTTAGCTCATGCGAAAGTTTCTTAGTGAATGGAAACAGGCAAAAGAGATTCGAAATCAGGAAAATATGCAGTTACCAGCACAAGTCACAATGCAAGAATGGCAAAGACCAAAACCCAAACTCTAGAAATGTAACGTCGTTGGGGCTGTATACGAAACATGGGTTGGGGTTGGCTTTAGGCTGTAATACGGGACTCAGGGGGAGATGTGAAGGTTGTTTTCTTCGGAACTTTCTAATGATGCAACTCACCTTACTTAGTTGAGTTGTTGGGATGTCGAAAAATACTGTAATTTATTTCATATCACTTTCCAGGACCGGACATTATAAAAATAGACGTTGAATTAGTTTACATAGTTCTACTGTCCTGCGAGAAAGATAACTCTGAATTCGTTTTTATAGTTCAGGATTATAGAGAACTTCTAGATCACGTGCATAATGTATCTATCATTGGGATAGAAGAAAATGTAATATCATAGCTTACCAAAATTGCTAGAACTGCAAAGGACTATCTTTGCTTCCATGTATGGGAGAGTTTGACTCCAGATATTGCATATTTTCTTCATTGATGAATGTCAGTTGGCTATTCTAAAGAAAAAGAAACATCACAAATACACCCAAAAGCATTTGGACAAAACAAATAAATTTACGCGGCAGATGATTCCCACATTGTTGTCCTCTATTGATTTTGACTTAAAAATATTTATATTTTTAAGAACTGAAAATTTTAGCATAAGAGATTTTATCGAATTAACTAACAGAGAGAGAGAGAGAGAGAGAGAGAGAGAGAGAGATCCTGATTCCTGCAAAAGCCCTGTTTCCGAGAGAAAAAAAAATCCCTAAACCCCCAGTATGAAACCTAATGCGAAAGGCCTTAATTTCTAATTTTCTGCGCTCTTGAGGTTGAGAGCCCTAAATGCGTTCGTTTGAGTCGTGAATATTGGATTTCTTTGAGTTTAACGGTCTTCTTCTTGATTAAAACTGGGGAGATGGAGGGATTGCAAACTTTTGCCCGTGCTTTGTCAAAGGATTTGAAAACGGCTTCTTCTTCTTCTTCTTCTCCAGCCACTCAGATTCCTTACAATCTTAGCGGAAGAGGAGTTTCTTCTGCTGCTCTGTCTTCTTCTGATACTTCTGGTGTCTTGGTCGCTTTGCCCCCCAGGTACCTAATGTCTCTCTCTTCTAACCTGTTGACCTTTCTTGTAGAGACGTTTTGCATATCTTATCTTTGCAAATTGTCCTGAGAAATTGTCTTTTTTATTATAATTTTATGCTATGTTGATTGGATTTTTTTTTTTTCAAAAAAAGTCATAGGCTGAGCGTCTTCTACTTCACTGAACCACTGAAAAAGGTTGTTTCGGCATTTAATTATTTCCAAATGGTTTTGCACCCTTTTTCTTGAGAAACATCCCCTAGGGTTATTGCTTCGTTATCTGAACTGTTCTTTGCTTGTATAGAGTAAATGTTGACACGAATCTATGCATATTTTTTAGCTAAAAGGATTTTTTTTTCCCTTCAAAGCATTGTTTTCCCAGTTCCATAATTTAGAGTAAACCAGTGTAGTTTATAACGAAATCCCACTTGTTAAAAATATTAATCTGCAAAATGATAGTTGGATTTTGGGTTCAAACATGGCAGGCTATCCGTCTTCTCTTTTTTGTTTAAAGCTTTTTCCTTTCTCCTTCACATGATACTGACGCTATTTTATGCTCTTTTGTAGGCAAGTGGTCTCCTTGTGGACCTGTTCAAAGCTGTGTGCTGTTTTCTTTGTTGCTGGAGTTTTTGTTGGTTTCACACTAAAGCGGCGTGTCCGCCGTTGGGCTTCCAAGCTTCTCAGAAGATTGAAGGATGATTGATGCGCCTTAGCAATTTCTGGTACTTTTAAGATCATTTCCATGGTTAACATATGGTTAGTTGTTTCAACAACTATTTGTTTCACACATAGACAATAGGGGTCATTCCCCCATACACCATTTGCTTTTCTCATACCATATCCTATATTAGCACAAGTGTTTCTAGATGTATAACTCTTGGATTAGACCCAGTTTCCTAGGGTACTGAATTTTGACAACTTTCTATTCCATTGGATCATGTGTTCTGTTCTTAATGTTGCTAGAATGCATTTGAGTGAAGATTGAAGTGGTGATCTGGAGGGTGGTATTTTGTTTTGATAGAAAGGTTTGTTTTATAGTGGTGTAATCACTTCTTGCATTCAATGGATACTAATTGAATTCTGATGTAAGGTACCCTGCTCTGCTATCAGCATAATAAAATCCTTGGCACTGTATTCTGTACTACCGGCTCAGGATATTTTCTGGAATTGTTTTCATATCAATCACATACTGGGTGTTTACTGTTTCATCCACAGGAAAAAAACTTCAAATGATTCCTGGATTTTGTTAATAATTCCCATTATTTCTGAACAATTATTCCAGTTGTGGACATGATATGAGAATATGCTAATCAATTTAGCTTCTTTTTTATTCTGCTCTGCCCACTTCTTTGCTGCCGTATGATGGCGGCCTCCACGGGATATCTGAAAGTTTGGTAAAACATTCACACAAATAAACATGCGGAACCAATTAGTAAACATGAGTTTTGGGCATACTTGCACTGAAGAACACACACAGACACACTGCACTGCTACATCTTTTTTTATTGAACTTCTTTTACATGGTAACTGTTATCAGCATAAATATGACTGTTAAATCTTTGATTTTGTTCTCTCTTTAATACAATTCTTTAATGTGTTGAATAATCTTACTGCTTTGATACTCTATTTACATTATGCTAAGCTAAGAGATTCGTATAGAAGAATTTTTTTTTTCGAACACTTATAAAAGAAACAAGAACTTTGCATTTATGATTTCTCTTTAGAAAATTTCCTTGTGGAAGTCAAAGCGCGTGGTTGTCTTGTAACTTAGCTCCTTAGACAACTTCTTCAGCTCCTTTGCCAGCACCGGCATGCCACAATAGAACACTCCTGCAATTAAGAAACCCTTACCTATTAAACAATCTGTTTCTTGAAGAAACAATTAATGTATTAGTAAATAACATCTTAAGGTTGTGCTTGATTCATTTTTTGTTAAATTTCTAATCAATTGTTAATTTTTAATTTTATGTTAGTTTCAATGTATATGATCAAAATATAATTTATAGTATTTTAGTTATTAACATCTGGTCTTGGATTCTTTGGTGGTAGAAACTCAACTTTCACTTAAAACATAGAAAATTAGATTTACATCTAAGGAATCCAAGGTGAGGCGGGGATAATTTAAACATTTTAGTTATGTTCTAATTACACATAATAAGACTAATATGAAAATTAACACAAGAAATTGACTAGAAATTAGATGAGAATTGAACCAAACTCAGGGTAAGTGATATCTCAATATAAGATTCTTTCGAACTACAAAAGTGTGATTTTATATAAAATAATGAAGAAATTCCTACAATTGATGATTCTGTGCTGCTAATGCATGTTGAATCTAAGCCTATGATATTGGTGTGAACTCTGAAACATAAAAGGTATCGGGATTAATTATTTTTGAAATATTTTCTTTAGAAAAATGTCTTACCTACTGTGGCATATGGATGCTTTGAAGCTATTCTGGTGAAGACTTCTCTCCAGTTGGGCCGTGCAAAATGTGTTCTTACCTGCAACAAGTCATGACATAAGATTGGTTATTGCCCAGGCACATCACATAGATGATGACCTTAACCACGCCATTATTGTGAAAGAGTTAGACAGTATAGTTAAATCACAGAACTGCAGGTGATAGGTTGTTCATTTTCCTCTCTTTTGCCAATATGTAAGTGGATGTGAAACTCATGTTCTTAGACTGCTTTTTCTGGTGACAGATTATTAACGTTGCAACATTTTTTTTTTATTTGAGAGGTAATGGGGATCATACTCGGGTGCCAGATAGGATATCTACACCATGTTTGGCATGATTTAGAGCTTGGACCATGGTAATCAGAGTTGACCTAGCATCTCCTTCCTCATATACACTTGTAAGGTAGTTATGCAGCTCGATTTGACCCTGTTTCAGAGTTAATATAAACAAGAGTGTAACTCAGTAATTTTGGCCATATCTTGATAAGGCTTTGTAGTGAATGGATAGTACGCATAGGATAGCAAGTGTTCATTACTTTTTGGTCCATTTCTGCCACTTGGTCCATTACTCCTTTAAACCATTCAAAGGAGCCTGATTCTCTTGTAACCCAGTAGAAATGAGCATTAGTAGTACTGTGTGACTTCTTTCTTCCTCCTGGTGTCAAACTTGAATTTGGAGTTATATTAGAAGACGTATAACTGTTGGAGCTGTCATCCGATCTACTGGCCTCTGTGTTTGAATCCTATAAATTAGAAAAAGTTAATTAATCAACAAAATCATCAAGAACTAACTTTATCAATATAGAGTATCTTTTCGAAGTGGTACTTTGTTTGCATCTAAAGAATTCTTCCATTAAGGAGAAAGGAAGTACACAATGCACAAACACATAATAATGAATTTATGGTGTGTGAAATATCATACCGTTTGTTCTTCAAATGTTCTTGAATTGTTTAAAAGATCTCTGAGTATGCTTATAAAAGGAGTAGCTCCAATTCCAAGACCCACAAGGAGCAAAACATCGTAGTTTTTATAGTCCTGTGCCGGTGCTCCATATGGGCCATCAACAAGCAATTTGGGTTGGCTGTACAAACCTAATATGTGACTTTAATAACTCTATATGGACAAGTTATGAAAAGGTTATGGTGAGTAATTACCCTGTCTGATCAGTATGCCCTTGTTCCCCAAACTTTGCTCGTCCAATAACAAATGATGTATCGTTATCTTCTGTGAAAACTCGTTTCAATTCTTGAGTCCAATCACCTACGGTTCGGATATGAACACTCAGGTAATTGTCTCCTGGCGCCGAGGTAATAGAAAAGGGGTGCCTGTAAAAATTTATAAGATAATTCAATTCTTGTTCTATACGTAATCAAAATTGAATAGCTAAGTACAGTAACAATTACCATTCAAATGAAGAAATTTTTGGGCACTGCAAGAATATATATTGCCCACTTTTATATTTAAATCCCTGTGGCTTTGACATGATTAAGCTGAAGACATTGCCAGGTAGTACTGAAACCTGAGAAAATTAGCAAAACTTGGTCAGTCTTGTTTATAAACAAGAATCTATTGCTTATATGTCATTTCATGTTTTTCCTAATCCAATTGAACATCTAATATTAATCCAACTTAAAATATCTAAAACGTCAACAATTTAGTAATTAATACGATAACTGTTATAATTACCTTTATTATTTTAACTGAATAATGTTCTGACCTGCGTGTTCTCAGACTCCGTTCTCCAATATATAATAACAATGGAACAGAGATGTACATCCATGTCTGAAAAATAACAAAGCAATATAAAGATTAATCTGCTACTGATTAATACTCTAATGCTAACCAATCTTTAAAATAGATTATGGTTTAAAGTTCTTACTGTTCTTTGATACCACTTATGGGCCAAGAATAAGAACGTCCCATGAATAAGTAGTAGAACATAAACGAGTCCAAGAATATGATGAGAATACCAAAAGGCATTGAATCCTGTTAATCTATTGAATGGTGAAGGTAGCTTTACAACGTTTCTCCTAAAGTAGCGGCTTGCTAGTGTAAATGCAATGACCATTAAAATCACCATAGAAATTCCAGTCACGCCTTCTACTCCAATCAATAGGTCTTTGTATGTGGGTTTTTTGCCGTTGAATTCAGAAGATATCATTGCAAATTTTTCTGGGGAAGATTGTGTGAGACGAGGAAAGTCACAAGCTAGATGGTTTCCCGCATGAATACATATCCCAATAGCTATAGCACATGCAATCATCTGTGAAATGAGAGGCAAGTAATTACATATTGGGAGTTGAGTACCGATAATAATAATAAAAAAACAAACAAAGAATCGAAGTTTGTTAAGGATAATTTTGTGAAGAAATTCAATAATGCATGTTTTTAAGGGGAATGGTTTATATATATCACTCAGCTGAGTTGTGACTACTCTTACTTTGTGGAAATTAATGTTGTCATCAAAAGGAACAAAAGACCTTGCTTTAGTAGATCGGAGCCATGTCAAGGTGTTTCGACAAACTGGTAAAAGAATCAGAGCCATGTT